ATAATTATTATTCAATATTTAAGCAATAGATGGTAACACTAGAGGGTGTTTCTTATGTCAACCAACCGTCTCCGGTAACTATCAATCTCGTCATCATTGGTATCGCGAGTGGATGTCAAGTACTTATTAAAATCGGACAATTCATCGAGCTTGGTCAATTTATCCGACTCGGACAATGTTGAATTTCTAATCGCCTTTTTCATCTTGATATACTCTACCGATAGAGTGCCCCTTTTTGCGGCCATTTCGCGACTAATCGGGGGTCGGGACGGTAAGGCCGCTACCGGGGCTGCAGGGGTTGGGTGCGAGTGATCTAGCTCAACAAATTGCACACTAGTGTCTCTTTGCTTCAAGTGGGCAAACGTCCCGTTGGCCACCAGTTGGTCAAATAGGTGGTCGTCCGGGGGTACGGCCGGCAGGTCTTGTCTCAATTGAAAACTATGCGCCACACGCTGTCTGCGGAATTCACCCAGCTCATTATCTATAATGTTCATTTTGTAATTATTAATCAAGCGCTTAACACCAATTGATTCATACCTTGGAATGTGGTGTTTGGGCCGTCATTGACCGCCAATACGCTAACGTTATAACGTCCGGCACCGCAATAATCAGTAAAATAGTTATAATAATAGCCGTCGGTGTGATAGCGGTCGAGGGGTGTATGGGTTTGGGTGCCATCCGGTCGGTCAACCGTAGCCGTGAGGTGGGCGCCCAACACTGGTCCGCCAGCCTTGTCCAGTCGGCACACCAACAGTGGTGGGCAATTAGCCTCCTGGCCCCTAATACCTACGTACAACTCAATGGCCGACCCACTGCCTGTGCCAGACATTTCACTTTCGACCACCACCTGAGCCCTAATGGCTTTGCGTATAACACCCGGCTGTTTGGTAAGCAGAAGTCGCCAGACACCCGGCGCGCACTGCCTCACATTCAACCTAGCGCGTTTTAAACTATCATCCATGACAAATTGGTCGGCCATAGCGCCTGCGGGTGACTCAAACGTGATAATTAATGAGCCGATGTCGTGCGACAGCACTTGTACGCTAGTGTTACGGCCAATGTCCGGGTCGATGGGCACCTGTACTACGGTATGATTGCTGCCTTCATTTAGGGTTACGATATCGTTGTAGATACCGATGACCACGACTTCTGCCATTTCACGGCTGACCTTTACCTCTTGCATGGCTGCGCTCATTACCCGTTCGGCCATTTCCCGACTCTCAGGCCCGACATCGGGCAGGAATGACACGTTACCGCCCGTGGCGTCGGCTAAACGATCCAGATTACGGTCCGCGTCCCGGCCAATCGCCAAACATCTTACTATTACCTAGATGTTTGTTAAACATATATTTAATATATGATATACTTTAAAGTGGACATTTAATTATTGTTTTCATCATAATGTTTTACATATGAATTATAATAAAACATTATATTGTTTAATTAAAAATTACCTTGGCCGCTTGTAGCACATGCAATACTTGGTCCACATAATCAGGGTAATTATTGTCGCCATCGGTTACCAGAAATATTACCGCCCCTTCCGTGACCGGGTTAGCCAATCTAAGGGCCTGTAACCCTTGTAGTAAGCCCTTGCCTATATCGGTAGTACCACGATCCATTTGGGGCACAGCCTGTCGTAGCCGTGCCCTAACATCGGGCCCAGTTATCTGTACCACCGGGTGCGCAGTCCATGCCTGGTCGTCAAATAGGACAATACCTAAACGTTGATTGTCCGGCGCGTCATCGATGTAACGCCAGGCGGCCATCTGTAGGCTCTCGCAGGGCGGGCCATACATACTGCCCGACACGTCTAATACAAACACTACCGTTTGAGCCATTTTGGTGCTTGGTCAATTTAGGCAATTATTGGTGTTTATATGGTTATACATAATTAATTAGATTTATTTTATATTGTTTGTTGGAAAAAATATTTTACTTACATTATTTAATGATGACTATAATAATTAATTAACAAATTGTTCAAGATTATTGTAATTAATGGCAGGATGTGCAGTAACATGAATGAAACTTTTTGAATAAAACTATATTATAGATAACAAATATAATAACAAACAGTTATTTAATATTGAAAAATTATGTTATGATTAATATACAATACTGTACAAAGGTTTTAACGTATTTTATTAAACGTTAGTTTACTAAACAAATATACTGTACAATAAATTATAAGCATATAATATTACATACGGTTTTTGATAAACAAAATAATTACTTAAATATGTTAAAAATTTTATTTTCGGTTAATTTTTTACGTAAATATAATCATATTATATTATATATATTTATTAACATTTTAAAATTAATTAAATTTAACATGTTTACCTTAATATATTAAATTATTTAACTATTTATGTATTTACCAATTATGATATTTTAATTAATATTTAATTAACATGTAATATGTACGTTGAATTAGCTGTATAATTTTTGTAAAATAATATGAAGCATCTGCCTTAACTAACAATAATAACTAGAATGGACTTTGAATAGATTATTACATTATATTTGATATGCATTTTCCTTTTACTAAAAATTACAATTATATTAAACATAAATATTTAAACATTGATTAATTCAAAATAAACGCTATATTATTGTTTCGTATTGATAGCTGTATTGTTTAATTTAAATATATTACTAAATATTGTAAACTAATTAATAAATTCAGATAATACTAAGGTGGTTATACCTGTGAATAGCAAATAAATATACACAGGCCTAATCATGGCCACTGTTAATTTTGCCAAAATGAATGATGATGGCAAAATTGACGTCAAAGTCTATTCACTGAATTATATACTGGAAAGTGCCGTTAAAATGGGCTGCACAAAAATGGCCATGATCACAACAATATCACCCCCGTTCGGTGGCAGTACATTTTTTAGCAATATGATTCTGAAATATTTGCGGCAAAAAATTGCACATGATGACTGGCCAGCCGGCGTAATGGTGCACAATTGGGAAGGCTTTAAAGATGTTCAACCATCAGCATCTGGCCTGTCTATTGACATGTGGGCCGATCCATTTGTTGTGCCCTTGGATGATCATGATTGCTTGGCGGTATTTCTATTTTATTTTAATCTCGGTGAACATCAATTTAAAAATTTTGGTTATAACAATGACCTAGACAGTTTGTGTAAATTTATATTTTGCGTATCAAACGCTGTTATATTCATTCATAAACGACCAGCGGTTAATGTAAGTTTAATTTTTAATTAAATTTCATAATTAATATTAACCTAGCTTAATTACTTTAGGGCATTGACCTCAAACAATTCTATGATGATAGATTTATTCAACGGGTCGAGTCATATCAAAACTTATTTGAGATAATTAATATGTGGAGTGCGTTGGATGGGATTGACCCTGATCAAAGTGGCTGGTATATGCCCGACAATAATAGGGTAGATTTTAGTCAATATCTATGTAGATATTATGCAACGTCGAGTCCCTACGAGTCGGTTAAAAATACCACCTGGATAGTTGACAAACTAAATAAAGAGTTTGTTCGTGAGCTTGGTCAGTTCATAACAACTCATTTGTTTAACCCCGATTGCTTAATAATTGGCCGTATTTTCACCAATATAAATGAAGTATTTAAAATGGCTGAAGATTTACATTTAAATTTTAATAATAACACAATTAATAATCAACCAAAACAACAACAATCAATTTCTAATATTGCCCGAGAATTTGTATCTACTGAGCATGAGCATAAAAACGTGCTTGAAAGTGACATAGATGCCGAGTCTGAATTGACCATAATTAAAGCAATAGAGCTCATAAAAGCGATTGATAATAATAAAAATACCGATACCTATGCGGATGAAAGTAATGCTAAGGTCAAACATTATGACCATAATAAATGCGCCGACAATGGCAAAAGAGAGTATAACAGCGAAATGTCACAGCTCGTGCAGAATCAAGTATTCCATGATGATAATTTATTGCACCAAGAGCATTTAAATATTAAGAATAAAACTTGGGAAATTATCTATAACTGGCATTTAGACAAGCATTTTGAGCCAGAAATAATCGGCCTATGTAAGATTGATTGTCTTAATGTAATAGATGACGAGTACGCAAAGTACCAGGCTCAGAATAAGCGCAACTGCCACGTTGAACAAATCAAAGTAAAAGTAGTAAATGAATTGACCGAAAACTATCATCGGTTACTCAAACAGGCGCTGTCCGAACACACCTATTTAGAGCCATATCAATTTGAGCCTATTCACAAGAATGTGCTTGATAAATTGCGTAAAATACACAATGAGCTTGTTGACGAGCAAGCTAATCAATTAATTGGCGAAACAATTGATTGTTATAGTGATTTTTTGGACAAAACTGTGCCTGGTGAGCGTGAAATTGTTGAGAAAATAAACGCCGCCAAGTTTGGCAAAACTAGCACAATTTCCATACACTTTGGCCATGATAGTTTACAGTGTGTTTATTATGGCGATGATCCGGGTAGTATGACTAATATCACAAACGCTGACGGTTCGCACTTTGTCAACTCGATCGCTTTTGACAAGGAATCTGGCACGTTTTTATACGGCAATGATGCACTGGCTTATTATGGTCTCAGACATCCATTTGATCTGGTTCAATTACTGACCAGGAGCTGGAACATCAAAGAATTAAAAGAAATATGCCCATTATATTTTATATTGGCCGAAGAGGGTAACTGTTATAAAGTGCTCTTGGTCACCAATCATGGCCAGTGTCGCCTCTATGTCGAGTCGATGATAGCGTTACAGGTGCGGCATGTGAAGCACCGGGCGGCACACCAATTGGGCACGGTCATCAATAATGCTGTTTTTATTGTGCCCACCTATGACAAAATGGACATGGGCAAATTTGAGGCCCGCCTGGCCAGCGCGGCAGATTTAGCCGGCTTTCACCACGCGCATACTATCTCCGAGATGAGTGCCGCTTTTATTGGCTACACGTACAATATGGTCACGTGCGCTGTGCGCCTACCGGTGCCCACCTGTTTCATGATGATCATGTTTGAAAATGACACCCGCTATCAGATATCAGTGATGGAAATACACAGATCGAATGAGATTCATTATCTGGCCTATGAATGTCACCAATTTGAATCACAAAAATTTTTTAAAATAAAATATCGAAGTGCCGAGGACAATTTACTCGACCACATTAAACGTCTACTTGCGCTTCATGACAAATTTATTTACAATATTATTGTAACTGGTATATTTCACATAGATTTGCGATTATGTTATGATTTATTAACTAGTCATTTTTACCATGCTATTAATTAGGTCACACAGATGAACTCCGAAACTCTAAAATATGGGACAACTGGTCACTGCGTGATAAAAAGATCAATTTCGAACATCACCTAGATGACACAATCAAACGTGGTGCTTTGATATACGGAAAACTAAACGAGGTGCCCAATAAATCGCTGCTAATAATTACGCTACACGCGGATAAACCACACGTACAGTTAAGCCCAGGTCAAATAAAACAAGAGTTGGACATTTTGCATAAGCTACACGCATTTGATGAATGTGCAATTACCAACTCGCACATTAAACAACCAGTCGCTAAATCGTACGCTGATACTTTGAGCAACAATTTATCGCCAAGCAAAAGTGGGTACAGTCGGTCAACCATAAGCACTCGGGCAAAACAAACCCTGAGCGAATCGCAGCTTAATCAACGCGTAAATAATGCATTTGAAAACTATCAGGATAAAATTGATACCAAAATGCGTCATTATAATTTTGACTATTCTGACCATGATGAAAATGACAAAACATTTTGCCAGATAAAACACGAAATTATAAATACATTTGAAATGGTAAATAAAGAACAAACGCAAATGTGGTCACTCTACAAGCGTTATGAACAAATATTGACCAATAAAATATCTGAAGAAATTGATAGACAACTCGATGTGTTGCTCACAATTAATGATGAGAATAATGAAAAGTGCACACAATTGATCGAGCACTATTGTCAACAATTTGACAAGCGTATGATTAATGAAATTGACCGAGATATTACGAATAGCGATAATATTTCGTATAATTGCGATAGAGAATTCAATCGGGTCAAAGATAATGTACTGGGTGATTTTAAGGCTGCGGCAAATAAGGCAATTAAAGGCCGTTTAAATCAAATACACGTGGACAGTCTAGCGGCTTACCTAGACCAAATGAAAGGCCAATATTACATGTTATACAATTGTAATGCTGTTTACGAGAAAAATTGTAAAAGCTTAGTTCACGACAAAATGTGTCTCGATTATAGTAAACTATCAAGTGTAGAATTTCAGCTACCACGTGAAATCTCTACTTCACCTGAACTCAAAACAATAGCTGACAAAATGATGGCCAAAACATTAGGCGTGTATCGGAAAAATATTGACACAATTATTGATAAACAAAAAGCGATTGTCACTGAGTTGACAGCAACGGCGTTTAAATCGTATAAAATTCACCTGGACGTAAAATTAAAATCGGCCTTTTTCACCACGACCGATGTCCGCGACATTCATCACACAATTGTCAATAATATTGAAGTATTGATGAACAAACAACTGTCAAATTTTGCACCATGTATAGCTGAACACATTAAATATAATGCGACCACATTCAAAGATCAGGCCAATAGACATTATGTAAACATTGCCAAAGCTTACCTGGATCAAACAAAACAGGCCTACGATATAGCGGTCAATATTGTCAATAAACTATACCGCGAGTATGTGGAGAGTGTTGGCCGGGATGTGCACGACAAATTTATTGCACTTGATGAATTGCAAAAACTATTTGACCAGCGCATAACAACAATAATTGGCAAACTCAACACGGACATGGACATTTTTGAACAGAACTGGAACAAACCAATGGCCAATCGCATCAAAGAGACCAAGGGCAAACAGTTGCGCAAAGTCTTAAACAACGTGCAGGGTGATCTACAACTCCGAAACCTACGCCACGCACCCCCACCCACAGCACTGGGCATATACTATAACCCGGACTACACTCTGGGCGCCCACTTTGAGTACAATCGAAAAACTACTGAATTTGTACGTCAAGTCCCGGACAGTGACGGACACCCGGTGTTTGTTAATTGCATAGCGTTTAAAGGCAATGAACTGGTGTTTGGGGCCGACGCCCGGCCGTACGACGGAAACACTACCCCACTCAACATAACCGGCCTATTAGGTGCCGACCCGTCGGCCACCACTGATCAGCGCTGGTCGGGTTTGCCGTTTCAGTTGTTGCCCACACAACCTGTTATGGCTCGGTTGGTGATCGGCGCCGACTCCCCGGCCAACAACTTTAACATTGAGACAATAGCGGCCCTCCAATTGTTACGCGTCAAACACGCGGCCGAAACACAACTGGGTGGTAATCAGAAAATAACCCAGTTAGTGTTTACTGTGCCCACACATTATACATTGCGCCAAAGGCGGGCGCTGAGAGATGTAGCAAAATTGGCCCAAATTGACCAAGATAAAGTCTATATACTGACAGAAATGACAGCCATTGCCATTTCGTACGCCATTAATGTTAAATTGGACTCAGAATTGATCATGATTATTTTGGTCAATGACCTGGAATCTGAGTTGGCAATCATTCGGGTCAATTGTGATTGTATTGATTATTTGGCTTATAACACCATGAGCAATTATATCGATAGCAATGAGGGTGATTTCGATATCAACAATAGATTGACTGATTTGTTGTCAAATATTTTTATAAAAGCCAAAGTAAATGAGAGAAATGTGGCAAAAATATTGTATTTTACAACAAACGGCATTAATATTGAATTTAATAATTTTATGAAAAACACCATAAGCTCAAAAATTGGCAAAAATCAGCCAGTTATATGTGACCTATGCGAGTGCGTCGGGAGGGGTGCTGTGGCCTATTGTTTAATGATGGATAAGGCACTTAAAATGATCGACATTAAAGACATTATTAAACACAATATCTATATCGAGACAGACGACACCTCGGTCAAACAGACGACCCTAATTGAACGTAATAAATATATCTCTGACTATAACAAAATCACAACTAGAGATATACAATTAAATTCAAACAATACCAAACAGCAAACAATTGTTGTAAATATTACCGAGAACAGTTGCCTAATTAAATTGTACAAGTTGGACATCAGCAAATTGGGCCGTTTTATTACGATTAGTTACCAGATTGACAAGGCTACTTGTGAGCTCAAATTGACATTGATGGCCAAGAAGGCAAACACCAGGTATTCAAGCGAGACAAGAGTTGACCAGGTCAATTTACACCTAACTGAAAACAACATACGGACCCAGAAAATGATGATGGCAGAGTTTGGCAACAAAAACATCACACCCGATAGGCCAGCATTGGCATACAATGAGCGCCAAAATGTGCCAGGCACATCTGGTCATAGAGAGGGCAATATAATCGGTAGTATAAGTACCGTTAATAGTATGCCCGGAGCCGCGCCGGCAGTCATGGCTGGCAATGAATGGACAGAGTTTTCGGTCAAAATTAAAACCGGTTTAGAGTCTGAGAGAGTGGGAGGTATGAAAAAGAGACCCATTATTGCGCTATTAGATAAATATGACCATGCTGTGAAAGGTGGTAATGCCACCGAGATCGCCATGGTCAAAGATGAGATTGTCGGTTTGATTACCCGATTTAATCTGGCTGATAAACTGCTTGATTAGTATATTTAGTGCATGTGTGTGTGTGTGTGTGTGTGTGAGAGAGAGAGAGAGAGCGAGAGAGACTGTTTTATTGATTTTTTACAACATTTATAACTTTAACCCATAATTTATCCAAATTAAACAAATATGTTAACTTTTATTACAAAATTATATTTTAAAATTTGTAGTTATTCACGAAATAATTATTGAAAACTTATTAATAATAATTTTTTATTATATTATTACAATATACTTTTATTACGGTATTATATAAATTATTTGTCATAAATGTAAAACTTAAATAAATGTATTTTAAATTGTTAAAGTTTTTTATTTATTACACAAGTTAAAGCAAAACATAAGTTAAATCATAATAAATAAAAAAAAGTTTAAAAATATGAAAATAACCTTTTTAAAAATTTTCTCTAACTATTACTAAACAGACACCAAATTAACCATAATGTTTAATAAATAGTGCTATAGTAGCGCCGCCAATATTAAAACATTTAAACGATACAGATAGCTCACATAATTAATTGCAGAATTCAATGTAACATTGCAATAAGCAATTTATTAAAATTGTAGTGTTCATTAACCTGTTACAGCTAAAATCTAGTGTAAAACTAGTTAATTATCATAAACATGACTGGCAATGATTATAGAAATGACAATCGTCACAAAAACACCGTGGACAATTTTCGCAAATTATTGACCTACGATATTGTGTGCAAGGGTACGCCTGAAGGGGATCAAGAGATTGAGCAAGCTCATTTGAGAGCCATCGAACAGGAATTGGATCAAGAGCAACCGATTGCCATCGATGGTAGTTACACCAAGGTGTTTCTAGAGCGATACGATGCCTACCACAAGCACATAAACAACCTGGACACTCTCAATCGCACGAATGACCAAGAAGCGTTGACAACTAAATTGAACCAGTTGTATAAGCGTATTGACGGGCTCAGGGCTAATTTAAACATGAATGCTGTAAAACAGTTAAACGCAATGTACCAAAGAGTTAAATCTATTCCTGGTACTACAATTACTGATGAACTAGAAGAGAAAATTGCCGCAATTGTTAATAACAATAAAAACCTACCATTATTAGAGATTGATAAATATATGTATGAACTAAACCTATTGTATTGTAAATAAATTTAATTTTTGTAATAAATGTTTGAATTTTATAATTGTTTAAATTTTATTTAAATGTAACTAAATAAATTCAAATTTTACTGAAATAAATATAAGTATTAAAATTTTTGTAATTGTCAAATACTAATTGTTTTATATCTTTGAGTTTAAAATAAATATAATTTATCTAATTTTCTAAATATAATTTATTATTTTGCTCATTACCTAATGATAAAGTACATTATAATTTATAAATTTACATTACATTAATGTACATTGTTTTTTGAAATAATTATTTGCATTAAATTTAAGTATTGTATTTCAAGCAATAAAACAGACAACTAATATGATAGCATATGTGCAGATAGGATGTGAGTAATTTATATAAACATGATACAATAAATGCTAGAAACAAGACAAATAAATAATAATACTTATTATTATGGCATTACTGGTAAAGTTTAAACAATTATAATTATATAAATTAATAGTAAATTGAATAAATTAAAATGCTAATTAATAAACTAATATAAAAATTATTACACCTTATTAGAAATTATTATAATTCAAATTACAATTAACCGAAAGTTATATATGCACAATTTCTAGTTTATACATATCAAATATTATTAATTATAGTTAATGTTCAAAGTCTAAAAAATATTATTGTTATTTTGCATTAAAAAAGGTGTGCATAGTAATTAATGTGCATATGTGCATGGTGGTGTAACCAATAATTTACAGTTAAACATAATTATAATAATTAAAAATTGATCAATTTAGATTAAGTAATGTGTATTATTTTATTAAACAATGAGTTAAAATTTAATATTTTAAATAATATAACAAATTTAATAAAAATTAATTGTAAGAAAATACAATATAACTTATAATCACCTTGGTTATCTAGTTATTTCAAAGTATTAAATATCATTATTAGTTCATGCTCACTGAATATTATTATTTTAATAATCATACAAAGTGAAATGTTTAATTAAACGCTTCACTTCAATAAAGTATATTAAAATCAAATAAATAAAATGGATCCAGTGCAAATTGTTCAGCTACTGGTTACCGACCCTAACGAAAAAACAATCTACAAATTAAATGAAGTTAAATTAAATAAATTACTTGAAAAAGTAGGCGACAGACCGCTTGTATTGATTAATGTTGTGGGCAAATTGCGCACAGGCAAATCATTCTTGCTTAATTATATTTGGAGGTATATAAAAGAGAATTTGCTAAACACTGTGACACCCGAGTCGGACACTCCACTCATCGGTATTTATTAAATATTTTATTATAATTCTCTCTCTCTCTCTCTCTCTCTCTCAAAATGTAAACAAATTATTAAAACAATAGGTTTTGAGTGGAATAATGGGTTAGAGTTGGTTACAAATGGCATCTGGTTTTCAACACCAATGATCGTAACCAACAAATCGGGCGAAGAGTTGGCCATCATTTTGATGGACACTCAGGGACTGTACGACGAGAACTATCCGGAACCCGATTGGGCCGCCATTGTTGGCCTGAGTCTACTCATGTCGTCCACAATAATATTCAATGTGTTTAACAGTCTATCGGAAGACGTGTTGAAAATTATGCATCAGTTTCTTGAGTTGGGTTTAGAGGCCGTCCGGACGGGCGGTGCAGATACTCGTGAGACCACTACCGGTGCTCTCAATGATAAACCATTTCAACAGTTGGTATGATTTAAATTTTTGAGTTATTATTACAGAGAGAGAGAGAGAGAGAGAGAGAGAGAGCAATGTGCAAAACATTTAAAGATAATTAATAGTTAATTTATTTTTAAAATTACTTTTCATTACTAGGTGTTTACGATCAGGGACTGGACGAGTCCGCACATTCACCCGTGCGGAGCCGATGGTGGCCATCAGTATCTAAAGAGCAAACTGCAAGTCAGGGCCAATCAGGCACCAGCCGCACAAAAGGCCCGACAAATTATTGATGACTGTTTTGATGGCATTGAATGCTATCTAATGCCGGAGAGGGGACCGGAGGCCCGGGCGGCTGAGTTTGATGGCCGGCGCCCACAACTGAGCGCTGAGTTCATTGAAATACTGGACGAGTTTTGCCGTAAAATTTTAGCGCCCGACAGATTGACACCTAAGATGACCGGCGGGCGGCCGTTGACGGGCCGGGCTTTTGGTCAGTACATCAAAGTCTATGTAGATATGTTCAATAGCGGTCAGATCCAGGGGTGCGATATGTTGGAGGCCCTGAGCAAAATTACCGACCATCATCTAATTAATCAAATTAAGGTATTAACTTATTTAGTTACATTGTGCAAAGTAGCTAAAAATTTAATAACGATATAATATTTGTGAACTGCTGTGTTTCTACTGACCAACAATCCAAAACAACAAACTTTATCATTATTACTTTTTGATTATTTAGATATTATTACAGTTAATAACATGTAAATTGTATTCGGTCACTTTTCTCTATACTTTTAAATAGTTATAATGTTATACTATTTATTGTTCTTAAACTTGCGTGAAAATAACGTATTATTATCTTACCTAGGATGATTATCAACTTAAACTACAAGACCTAATCAGTGATGAGCGCCGGGAGGGTCGCAGTCGACGTGAATTGACGGTCGAGACGGACTCTCTGGGAGACAAATGTCGGCAAACATTTGAGTCACAGAAAAAATCGGCAAACGATCGTACGGTACGGGAGTTGCGGGAAGTGTTGGCCGCGGCCTTAACTGAGATGACCGGTCGAGCACTGGACGAGTACGACAGGCGCCGGGCGGTGGCCGCCGAGCGAGTGATTGGCGATTTGGTCGACCAGTTTAAGGCCACAATCGGCCCAATGGGTTCCGGGCACGAGTACTACGGCGAGCATGAGTTTGAGACAATTATGTCTAACAAGATCGTTGAGTTAACGGCCGAGTTAGAGCTGTTCTGTCTTGAAGATGATGAGTTGTTGGCCGCCAATCAAGATAAAGTATAACTGAACTTGTTGTTTAAAAGAACTATTTATTAATCAATTACTTTATTATTATTTTTATTGTTTAATTATAGTTTAAAAATCAAATTGATTTTCACGGCAAAGCATTTATGGAAGAAAATCGGCGCCGAATACAGGGGCTGAAAGAGTTATACGATTCAGAACTTACTAGGCTAAAAGCTGATTATGATCAGGTATGTTTTTAAATATGTAAAATCACTTTTTTTTATTAATGTTATTTAAAACATTATTAAAACTATTTTAAAACTATAAAACTTAATAAAGACCATGGGCGATCTATTCACGGACCCTGAGCAATCATATCACCCAGACGACCTGGATACACTGCAAACTACGACTACCGCTGACACACTAACACAATTAAACCAATACACGGCGAACAACCACGCTGTACCAATCGAGCCCTACAAAACTAACCTGGGCAACTACTGTCAAAGCAAGTACACCGACTATCTGGAGAAAAACGGCATTCGGCGCGAGAGGGCCGAAGTGGAGGCCCGGGAAGAGCTCCGGGAGCTGTGCGATGATTACGAGCACGAGTTGGAGCGCTTGATAGAGTTGGGTGCGGCCGGTGCCGACACTTTTGACGAGTTCCGACCCGAGGCTCGAGCTGTGGAACAGCGAATGGTGGCCGAGCGCCGGGACCGACAGCGCCCGGCCGGTGGCGCCCGGCGTCCAGCGTTAGACATGCGCGACGTGAGCGCCCGGTTCGCCGAAATACTGGCCGACAGTCAGTATATATTTCTGGAGAAGAAACGAAAGGAGGGTTTGGCTACTGAGCAGCTCCTGGACGCTGTGCTCAAGGCATACACCGAGCGAATGGCCCGACACCGGGAGGACACGGCGTACATCAAGTCCGACCGACTTGACCAGATTCACGGTAAACTGTGCGACGATCTATTGGCCGAGTTTGACCACAAACGCCAACATTTGACCATGGACAAATTTGCCGACATGGTGAGCGAAATGTTGGCCCGCGTGTATCAATCCGTACGCGACGATAACGATAAAAATACGCCAACTTTACCGGCCATCGGCATTGACCTGGGCACAACCAACTCGTGCGTGGCCTACTATAAGCCAGACAAACACCGAGGTGAGGTGATTGTGTTCAAAAATGACCGTGGTCACCCGACTACACCTTCGGTGGTCGAGTACAAAGCCGCTGAACAGGAGGTGATTGTGGGCGATGTGGCCAAAGAGAACCAGATATCGTCTCCCAGACAGACCTTATACTCAATTAAGCGTTTGATTGGCCGTAAGTACAGCTCCGATGAGGTGACTACCGATCGGAAACACTGGCCCTTCCGTGTGATAGACATGGGTCAGGACGAGCCGGGCCTCGAGGTGGAGACCAGTCCGGGTAAGACCGAACGGTTTATGCCCGAAGAGGTGTCGGCACAGGTGTTGAAAAAGATGAAAGAGATCGCTGAGCAACGGATGAGCACCGGTGACGAGCGGGTGGTCATAGAAAACTGCGTGATCACTGTGCCGGCATATTTTAACGATGCCCAACGCGAGGCCACGATAGGCGCGGCCACAATGGCCGGCCTACACGTGTTGCACATTATGAATGAACCCACGGCCGCGGCGCTCGCCTATCAGAGCAACCGATTTGATGATCTTAGAACCAGGTGTGGTATACAACATGTTGCTAGTTTGTAAATTATTACATTAATTTTATTAACTAAAATGTTCTCTACAATAATTGCTATGTATGATCAGGTTTAATCACACTTTTACCTTTGTGGTACAATATATGTTTAATTTCAATTATGCAATTTAATAGTATAATGTAAGCTCAAGTATAGCTCAATTTAAGAAATTAATTGTTACTGTAATAAATTATTAACCAAGTGTATTTTTGTTTAACACAACATTAGGACCGTGTTGATATACGACTTTGGGGGTGGCACGTTTGACGTATCGATACTAGCGCTAGAGGGCGGCGAAGTGCGCGTGTTGGCCACGCACGGCGACAATCACCTAGGTGGCGACGACGTGGACAACAACATGATGGACCGTTGTTTGGCAGAGTTTGAGCGCCAGACGGGTCAGGCGGTGGACGTGCGGACCGACGCCGGAGCCGTGGCTCAGAGGCGACTTAAACGCGAGTGCGAGCGCCAGAAATGGGACCTCAGCGAGACCAACTCGGCCAGGGTGACCATCAACAACTTTTTCGACAACAATCACCTGGATGTCGAGCTGACCCGCAAGGATTTTAACACAATGAACGCAGCGCTGTTCGCCAGTACAATGGACTGCGTGAACATCGCGATGGGTATAGCGGGTAAAACACCCAGGGACATTGACGATGTGATCTTGGTGGGCGGCTCCACGCGTATACCCTATGTGCGCGAGATGTTGGCCGACGAGTTTCTCAATAAGAATCTGTGCCAATCGATTGATCCGGATTTGGCTGTGGCCGAGGGGGCGGCCATTCAGGTAAGACCATAATGGTCAATTAGCTCAATTATGTCCAATTAATAACACACGAGTAGTAATTTAGATTTATGTTTGTTTTGTTTTTACTTTGCTTAAATATAGATAATTAAAAAGTTAATGTACATTTTTAATTTAATTAATTTATTTAGTATATGTTTATAATGAATTTAATCTAATTCACGTTGTTTGATCTACTCATAGGCGGCCATATTGAACGGTAACCAGGCTCAACGACTGGGTAAATTACGTGTGCTTGATGTGACGCCCTATAGGCTGGGCGTAGCTAAAGAGGGTGACCAGTTTTCCGAGATTGTAGAGGCCCAGTCGAGCATACCGTGTTCTAGGTCAAAAACATACCGCACAGTGCAAAATGGACAGACTAGCATTGACGTGGAGGTGTACGAGGGCAATGAACCAATGGCCAGCGCTAATCGGCACCTGGGTCGATTTACCGTGTCCAATATACCGCCCGGACCGGCCGGCGAGCATACGATCCAGATCATTTTTGACATAGACGATGATGGCATTTTAAAGGTGCGCGCGCTCAATCTGTCCACTGGTCAAACTGCCGACGGTATTGAAGTGGTCAAACACAGTGGCCGACTCACTGCTCAGCAGTTGCAGGAGCGCGCCATCTAGATACATAAAATTCTACAATGATTAAATGTATTATGAATTATAATTTAAACTGTAATTGATATGATAACGTCAGTATTTATTATGTTTACAAAAAAAATATTATAATCAGGGACAGCCAGGTTACATATTTTTAGTCAATAGGACGTATTGTAATGTTTAATTATGGTAATTCATAGTTTAACTTTGGTTAATAGCTGAAGTTTCATTATTTTTGCTATTAGTAATTGGTTGAGAATGATTATACAGTATACCCTCGCATATAAAAAGGCGCGAATGCAACATGAGTGCAACCTGTGGAAGTTGATGATTATAATATTAGAATACCTGTTATATGAATAACTAATTTTTTAATATGACATTTTCAATTTATAATTGTAATGCATAAGTTTATAATGTTTTATTATTTTTTAAAAATTGTTTGTAAATTTTTATTAAAACTTATTAAACCAAGTTACACCAATTAAAAATAATGTAGATTTATACGGACCACTCACTAGAGGTTTAAATGATTTATAAATTTAGTAAATCTATTAAAACATTTTAAAGTCATGTCAAGTTTTTAAGCATATTTAAAAGTATAGTCAATTTATGTGAGTGTAACACCGTTTATGATAGCGCCAATACCAGACTATTAGTTTGTCGTTGCGGGTAAGTATCGGGTACTTTGGTTTCTGCAAATTCACCCAGATGACCATACCGGAATCAACCTATTAATTCAAAATAAACCAAATTGCTCAACATAAATTTATATGAGGTTGTTTTAAATTAAAAACTACCCTTCTACTATCCTACCACTGATGAAACTAATTTATGTGTTAATCATGGTAGTATTTTACAAACATAACTTATGTACAGATTATGTTACTTTACGGCGCGATTGCAAAATATACATGTATTTCTATCATATAGTGGACGGCTATAGCATATAGTTTGTTCAACATAGTTGGCTTGCGGTACACAATTGATTTCAGAAGTGTTTGACCATGGCGCGAATGGTACAGTGGCGGCCAGTGCTAAAACAGGTCCCAGCATTGAGTCATCGTCCCCAATGAGTAGCGCGACCAGCACTGGTGACACGTGACACAATCTTATGGATACAGTGACCAACTCGATGCCCAATAGACAGATGGTAAGCCTACCGGCCGTTTCATTTTCAGAGCCATACGTTGTGTCAAACGAGAATTTTGTGCTAGTTATGTATGGTATAATCGATGTGTGTAAGTAGCGTGCTCTAAGTCTACAGCATTCTCGGTGACTACCTAATGGAGGCGATCGTGGTCAAATCAAGATTAGCTTAATAACTTTTAATATTTTTCTATGATTTTAAATAATTAATAGTTAGCTGTTGCGGCCAAAAGTGACCGGCGGGCAATGAGCTAGTATTGATTGAAAAGGTTAATTCTATTGTAAAATGAACTTATGTGGATTATTGCTACGATGACCAGGTTGGCTTGTTTTTAAATATACAAATATTAATTTAATACGTTTAATATACGAATACTTTATATATATACTAACATCTTTTGTTGTAAATCTTTTGAAATGCTCAATTGCTGCTATCGATAAAGTAGTATTTAAATTGAGCAAAGTTATAGTCAACAGTTTGAGAGGACCAACATGTTTTCAATTTAAATGCCCGTACGTGTGACTAGTGTTCACAACTACTAGGAATTACTATAAAAACCTGTAAAAACTGTAAAATTCTATGTTATTTAATTAAAAACCGGATATAAAGTTAATATTAAATGAGATATAAACTTTACATCTCATTATACCTTGAGTTATAAATGAAATCTAAAACCAAATATTATCCGTAATAATACCATATTGATGTAATGTTTATTACGTAATGTCAGCATTTGATAAGTAATTTTTGAATTACAAAAAATAATAATATTTGGGTTTATTTAAAAATCTGTCAAATTTATGTCGAATACACACAGTATTGTAGTTTAGTTTTGTTATTTCTTATAACTTATAAAATAATAAAAATATTTAAAATAATGTTTGAGAGCCGGAAATCACTTACAATGCAATACAAAAACAATAGTGATTTATACGGACCACTCACTAGACTCTAGTGACTAGAGATTTGTATTATTATTATTTGTATAATTTAAAAATTTAGTATATTTATTAAAACATTTTAAAGTCATGTCAAGCTTTTAAGCATATTTAAATTGATAGTCAATTTAGTTGAGTGTAAAACCGTTGAGAATAGCGCCGATACCAGACAATTAGCGCGTCGTTGCGGGTAAATATCGGGCGCTTTTGTTTCTGCAAATTCACCCAGATCACTATATCCGAATCAACCTATTAATGCAAATTATTATAAATAAAATTACTCAAAATCAATTTATATGACGTTATTGTAAATTAAAAACTACCCTGCTACTGTACTATCCCACCACCTTAATGAAAATAATTTAAGTTAATCATGGTAATATTTTACAAACGTAACTTATTGCAGCTTATGTTTGTTTGCATAATATACCTGATTTTCTATCATATAGTGAAAAGGTATAGCATATAGTCTGTTCAACAAAGTTGGCCTGCTGAATATAATCGCCCTCATAAGTGTTTGACCATGGCGCAATGGTACAGTGGTCGCCAGTGATAATACAGGTCCCAGCATTGCGTTATCCTCACCAATCATCATCGCCACCAGCACTGGTGACACGTGACACAATCTCATGGGTACAGTGACCAACTCGATGCCCAATAGACAGATGGTAAGCCTACCGGCCATTTCATTTTCCGAGCCGTACTTCGTGTCAAACGAGAATTTTAAGCTAGTTATGAATGGAATGATTGATGTGTGTCTGTAATTCACGTGCTCTAAGTCTACAGCGTTCTCGGTGGCCACCTAATGGAGGCGATCGTGGTCAAATCGAGATTAGTTTATTAATGTTTCAATATTTTTCTATTATGTAAAATAATTAATAATTAGATGTTGTGGTCAAAAGTGGCCTGCGGGCAATGGGCTAGTATAGATTGAAATAATAAATTGATATACAATATAAAATATACTGTATATCTATTATAAAATGAACTTATGTTTACATCAAAGTTACTGTCCATAAGTCTTGTATGCGAGCCTTTAAGTGATAGTTTGTGGCCGTATTTGGCAACAAAGTCCACGGGGTAGTGGTCGGGCGCTGAGTCCTCCGAGTGGTACCAAACATATATCAATTCATTCCTCTCTATTGTCGGCCATTTCTTGACCACTGCTTTCACTGCCTTTAACTCCGAGTCTACGGACAATTAATATTTTATTATTAATTAGTTTTCTCATGTAATTTAATATAAATATAATCATAACTTATAAATAAATATAATATACATAAAGTTAATACCGTTGAGATTAGGTATGCGTTTGCACTGTCCGTCTCCGCCAAACCTCCAGCCATGGAATGGACACTGAATACAGTTTATGCAGACAAACCAAAAACCATGAATTAGTCAAAGAATGATAACATATAATATTTAACTAATGCTTTAAAATGAATAAATAGTTGTAATAGTCATTATTGTGTTCAAAACTATGAAAATCGATTTCAAATCAATTTCAAACGGTTGGCCTAATAATTAATCAATAATTAATCAATCAATTATTGATATACAATATAAATTATACTGTATATGGTATATCTATTATAAACTAAACTAAAACCAGGTAGAATAAAATAGGGGACATTAATAATATGACGTGGTTATTGAATCACCAAGGTGTCTTTAAAATATTGACATTATACAGTATTAGAGTAGACTATATGTGACTAACATATGAATATTATATCAATTACTACACAATGGTTATATGCTGGGAGTACTGACAAGCAAACGGTCTGACATTAATTTACGATAATGGTATTTAATACGACTAATCGTGTAGTTTAGACCAAATAAAATAATTTAGGGCTAATATCTCGGGCTGATAACCCAATATGCGCCCCTGGGAGGGGTTTTTAAGTTGCAATTACATTAGAGAATTGCATTGAGACTAGAGTGACCAGGTGTACACTATTAGGCAGCAGTGTACACTATTTTGACTCTCTGTACATTATTTTTATTTTGTACACTATTGTACACTATTTGATCACAAAGAAAAATGAACCCAAGAAGTAAAAACTTTTATAAAACATTTTGTTTTGTGTAAAAGCATTGCTTGTAATGAACAACAAATCATGTTTTAAGAGTGTCAAAAATTATAGACAATTAATAATTAAAAATATTTAACAGAATAGTGTGCAAATGTTGTCATAAACATGATTAAGAGCACATATTTGATTATTCTAATATAGAACTGTTAAAACGTGTTAATTTAATTTAAAATATAAAGTTATGTATTATTAATATAATGACATTTAAAATCAAAATTTTGAAATAAATATTGTGTACACTATTTGTACACTATTTTGACCAATATTTTTAGTTTTTGTACACTATTATGATTTGCCCACCTGGTCACACTAATTGAGACTAGCGCCACTTGTTTTGTGGCATACAAGTCAACTAACTCTCATAAGCTTAACACATATGAAGTGCAACTTAAAACCCCCTCCCAGAGGCGCCCATTGGGCTATCAGCCCGTGATATTAGTCCTAAATTATTTTATTTGGTCTAAACTACATGATTAGTCGTATTGAATACCATTATCGGGAATTAATGTCAGACCGTCTGCTCGTGAGATGTATATTTTGCCTGCTCAAGAACTAAACTTATGTTTACATCAAAGTTACTGTCCATAAGTCTTGTATGCGAGCCTTTAAGTGATAGTTTGTGGCCGTATTTGGCAACAAAGTCCTCGGGGTAGTGGTCGGGCTCCGAGTCCTCCGAGTGGTGCCAAACATATATCAATTCATTCCTCTCTATTGTCGGCCATTTCCTGACCACTGGGTTCACTGCCTTTAACTCCGAGTCTACGGACAATCAATATTTTATTATTAATTAGTTTTCTCATGTAATTTAAGTTAAATATAAGGTCGTCCAAAAAGTATTGAGCACCGGAATTTGGCAAATACTCGGCAACCGCTGAAGTGATAGTATTTTAATTTCATGAATATATGGATACATGTCGGGGAATTTTTATGCTATAAAAATTTTGTCGGACACGTGACTATTTTCTGAGAAAAGGGTACCATTCCGAAATCACTAGTATTGTGCCTACTGTGCTCATTATAGGAAGGGGTAGGGGAGGTGGTTGTGTAGTGGAGATGTCATAGTGTTATATAAACTTGAAAACATTATGATTGGATTGCAGGGTTTTATATAGTATGTGTACAAAGTTGACCAATTTTTGCATGTTAACCTATGAGAGAGTAAAATAAAATTGGATTGAAATATGGAGTTTTAGCCATAAAAACCCAAAAAAGCTCGATATTTTCAATATTTCAATTTAAGATATTTTGTCTTTGGAATTAAATTTTTCAAAAAATTTTTCTACTAACATTATCAGCATTTAATATAGTATCTGAAAATATGACTAATTATATTTCAATCAAATTTTATTTTACTCTACCATAGGTTAACATGCAAAAATTGGTCAACTTTGTACACATACTATATAAAACCCTGCAATCCAATCATAATGTTTTCAAGTTTATATAACACTATGACATCTCCACTACACAACCACCTCCCCTACCCTTTCCTATAATGAGCACAGTAGGCACAATACTAGTGATTTCGGAATTGTACCTTTTTCTCAGATAATAGTCACGTGTCCGACAAAATTTTTATAGCATAAAAATTCCCCGACATGGATCTATATATGCATGAAATTACAATACTATCACTTCAGCGGTTGCCGAGTATTTGCCAAATTCCGGTGCTCAATACTTTTTGGACGACCTTATATATAAATTACAGTAAAAATTTGTATTTTAGTTGTTTGGGGTTTTGTTGTGTTAGTTATATCATATTTAGTTGTGAATGTAATATAATGATTTAATATCAAAGTATAGTTGTAAGATTAACATGGTATCTTATGTTAAATCCCATATGGTGGGTGAGGGGCAAGAGAATTAGGCTAAACCATCATCTAAACAACATTCTTCATAAATGAATTATAGTCAACAATTTAACTAATGATGTAAATTTTAATTGTTAACATTAATTCAATACAATTCTCAATATTATTTTGCAATTAAAAACATTAATTAATATTTTCCAGAAATGCCTAAAAATGTTTTGTAATTATTTATTACATATGACTTAAATTATTCACAAGTAGTTTTACATATAAGTTATAAATTTATTCATCATTATATTAATTACACATTGTACATAGCGTTGCCAAACATACAGAAATTTTTTTGCAAAACTTTCAAATGTATAATGGATAATCAAAATATCATTTGACAACGCTAATTATACATGAAGATGATATAATTTATATCACTAGTTCAATTTGTATGAATGATGTATTCCGACATCATTATGGTTTTATTTCAACATTTTAAATAATTTATAAGTCTATGAAATTTAATGAACAAAATAATTTATAATTTAACAGATACTGTAAATAATGAATATACTATTTAATAGTCAGTACATTACATGGATGATTAACAAAAATCATTAGTGTTACTAAAAATAGCACAATATATAAATTAAAGTAAAAATTTAGATTTTGTTCGTTTGGGATTTTGTGATGAAAGTTATATCATATTTAGTTGTGAATGCAATATAATGATTTAATGCAAACTAGTATAATTGCAAAACTATATTAATTAAAAACTACATTAATAAATAATAATCAAAATGAATGATATTACATTAAAAGTAGCAACTAACAACGTAACTATATTAAACTAAACTAATTTTTATACATCAAATTATAAATTAAGCTAATTGTTTATAAATATTAAATTCATAAATATTAAATCATCAATAATAGTAATCTAATGCATTTTTAAAATTTATTATAACAGGCTCCACCTCTAATATTTATTAAATATAATCATGCAAAAAATATCTATCAAGATAGTGGTGGGTTTGAAGCAATGCGATTAAATGCTATTATTAAACATTACAATATTAGTTATGATATTGTTTACTGCAATCAAACCTGGGGTTCACAACCGGTTAACAACACGTGGCCCGGAGTTATGGGAAAATTAAGCAACAAAGTTTGTTTTAAATTATTTGTTTATAGTAAAATTAATGGATAATTATTAATTTTTTAAAAACATTTTATAGGAAGCCGATATTGGGATATATCTAGCAGTAACTCCAACTAGATTCAATGCCATAGACTTTACGTATCCATACGAACAAATTGATTTGTCGTTTACGTCTCCATTACTGTCGACAACCAATTTTGACAATTTGTTGCAACCCTTCGACAGTTATATTTG